AATTTGAACCACCAATCTTGCAGCTCAAACTGACCTTGTGGTCTGGTGCTTATCCTATAGTGCCACACCAGGACTCCAGATAGGATATTGTTGTTATTAGGTGCTGTCAAGTCAACAGGTATATAGGGGGTGCAATAACACTAGTAAGGTATGCTCACCATGGAATAGTCAACCATTCAAGATTAAAAGGGCAATGCATACCTAAGGACAAAAGTCAGGAAACTTGAGAAGGAGAATAGAATGGAAATAAAAACCTCAGGGAGGAAGTGGGATTACTGTTGTTAAAAGGAAGGGATTGCAATTATTGAGATAAAGCAAATGTATGATTTGTTCAATATAAGAATGATGATCTGTTATGTAAAGCTTAATTTTATTCACACAAAAAATGTTAAAAGAAAATTGGTTTTGTGTTCTTGTTCTCTCTCATCATCCTGGTGATACATTAACAGTACATAACTCATTTCAGAATATTTAATATGGACAAAATATTATATTAAATACCAGAAGAAATTACCATAAATTCATGAACCTATGCTCAGGGGTTATGAAAAACTGCATACAATTACAATGTAAATTGAATCTCAGAAACAAATGTGTTTTATTTGTACCTAGGAGATTGTAAAGTGAATGTTTTTATAAAATTCAGACTTTTGAAATTTATAGTTGAAACAAGTTAGCAGAGTTAATTTAAAACAAAAAATAGTAAATGGTGTGGTTGGGATTTGAATCCAATGCCTCTCTCTAAGAAATTGTTTTGACTTATTGTAAAGATGGCCATAGTTTAAAATCTATTTGACTTTGGGCAAGTTTCTTGACTTACCTTTATTTTTATGTTACAGTTTTGTCTATTTTTATTTTTATTTCTTTCTTGTTCTTTTCAATTGTGTTTTGCGTGAAAATTTAAAGAGCAGATGAATTTCTATTCAACAGTCCATACACTTTTTCCTATGACATTAGTTGAGATCTTCCCAATATAACATCATTCTTTCCCCTTCCTCCCTGGGTTCCCCATTTCCATTTATCTTTTTCTGCCTTTTCCTACATTCTGAAGTTATTCTTTAGGCAAATGCTATTAGTTCTTATATAGTCAATTATTCTTAAGAGTAAGTTCCTGATAGGTACAATTCTCTTTATACGTCTGCCTTATGGATGTTGTTGTTGTTATGTGCTGTGGAGTCGGTTCCGAGGGTTTCCAAGGCTGTAAATCTTTATGGGAGCAGAAAGCCTCACCTTTCTCCCACAGAACAGCTGGTAGTTTCGAACTCCTGACTTTGTGGTTCACAGTCTGATTTGTAACCACTACACTACCAGAGCCTTATGGATAGCAACAAAATATTGTGTAATATGGAACCAGAGAATGAGTCTCTAAACTTGGAAGGCTCTCAAAATACAACTGGGGAAAAACGGTGTCTTCAAAATAGAGTAAACCTTAATAATGGTGGTGGAGCAAAGTTTTCAGAACCTTCATTTGCTTATGGGACATGACTTAAATGAGAAGAAATAGCTTCAAGCTCCCATTAATAATTGAAACATGAAATGTATGAAGTATTAAACTAGGAAAATTGGAAGTTGTTGAAATGAAGCACATAAAGATCAACATCCTAGGCAGTAGGTGAAACAGATAGGTATTGCCATTTTGAATCAGACAACCTTATGGTTTACTATGTCAGGAATGACAAATTGAAGAGGAATCATGTCTCATTAGTCATAAAAAATACATTCCAAGATCTATCTTGAAGTACAATGCTGTCTGTGATAGGGTAATATCTATGAGTCTACAAGGAAGACATAAAGTCCTAGTGTGGCACTATAGGATACGCACTGATCTGCTGACTGAATGGTTAGTGATTGATATTCAGTGGATGCTCCTTGGAAAATCTATATGGGGTCATTGTGAATAGATGACACATAGGCATTTAACAACAACCAGGAATACCAGTTAATAAAAGCATTATTCAAATGTATGCTTAATCACTAAAGATGAAGAAATATAAGAATTCTACCAGCTTCTTCAGTCTGAGATTAATCAAACTTGCAGTCAAAATGCATTGATAATTAATTACTGGTGATTGGAATGCAAAAGTTATAAACAAAGAGGAAAGATGTGTTGTTGGAAAAATCACCTTGGTGACAGAAATGACACTGGGACTTGCATAGCAAATTTTGCAAGATCAATGACTTATTCATTGCAAATACCATTTTCAACATAAACCAAAACTATACGTGTGGACATTGCAAGATGGAATACACAGGAATTAAATTGACTACCACCACCACCATATCTGTAGGAAGGGAAGATGAATAAATTCATTATCATCAGTCAATACAAAACTAAGGACCAACTGTGGAGTAGACTATCAATTGCTCATATGCAAGTTTGGGATGGATCTAAAGAAAATTAAACAAGTCCACAAGAACCAAAATACGACCTTGAGTATATTTCACCTGAATTTAGAAACCATCTCAAGAACAGATGTGACACATTGAACATAAATGACTGAAGACCAGACAAGTTGTGGGATGACATCATAAACAGCATACATGAAGAAAACAAAAGTCATTAAAAAGACAGAAAAGAAAGACTAAGTGGATGTCAGAGGAAACTCTGAATCTTGCTAAAGCAACTGGAAAAATGATGAAGTAAAAGAGCTGAACAGAAAATTTCAATAGACAACTCAAGAAGTAAAGTGTTGAAATGAAATGTGCACCTGGAGTTATAAAAACAAAAGAAAATGGAAGGAATACAGAGAGTCACTGTGAAAGAATTGTTCGATGTTCAATCATTTTAGAAGGCAGCATATGATCAAGAACCAATGACACGGAAGGAAGAAGTCCTAATTGTGCTGAAGGCATTAGCAGATAAGACTCCAGACTCCAGGAACTGATGAAACGTCAATTAACATGTTGTTGTGCAGGGTTGGAAGTATGCATGAGTCTATACAAAGAAATTTGAAAGACAGCTCCCAAATCAGCCACTGGAGGAGATATATATTTGTGCCTATTCCATATAATAACATTTCAGTATGCAAAAATCATCTAACAATATCATCAGTATTACATGTAAGTAATATGTTGCTGAAAATAATTTTTAAACGATTCTAGCAGTACATTGGCGTCCTGGTGTGGTGCTGTGGGCTAATGCATCAGACTGCAAAGTTATTTGAACTGCAAAGTTGCTTGAACTGGTTGTTCAAGCTCACCAGCTGCTCCTTGGAAACTCTATGGGTTGCTATGGGTCAGAATCAACTTCACGGCACTTAACAACAACAAGAAGAGCAGTACATTGACAGGGAGATGTTAGAAATTCAAGCAGGATTCAGACGAGTATGTGGCATGAGGGGTAACATTGCTGACATCACATGAGCCTTGGCTGAAAGTAAAGAACATCAGAAAGATGTGTACTTGTGCATTACTGACTATGCAATGACTTTTGATTGAGTAGAACATGGCAAGTTAAAATAACTTGTATTATAGTTAGATGTGCCACGGCTTCGCTAGCTACGGCACCACTAACTGGGCTTGAGCAGCTCTAACCCCTCCCCCAGGAGACCGCCGCAGTCGGCCTGTGTGTGCTCCCTGGGAACCATGTGTGACGGAAAGGCCGTGATCAAAAATGCTGACATGTCTGAGGAGATGCAACAGGACTCAGTGGAGTGCGCTACGCAGGCGTTGGAGAAATACAACATCGAGAAGGACATCGCGGCCCACATCAAGAAGGAGTTTGACAAGACGTACAACCCCACCTGGCACTGCATCATGGGGAGAAACTTCGGTAGTTATGTGACACATGAAACTAAGCACTTCATCTACTTCTACCTGGGCCAAGTGGCCATTCTTCTGTTCAAATCTGATTAAAACATGGACTGTGCCCACACACCCAGCGATCCATCCAAAACCAAGGACTGCAGCCTCAATTCCAAATACCAGAGACTGAAATCTTCAGCCTTGCTAAAGGAACACCTCCATCTTTGACCCTTCATTGTGCTTTTTTGTACAGGGCCTTCTCTGTACTAGTTAGTTGTGGTTATAAAACAATTAGCAAAATGGCTTACATTTGTATTTATTTACTATTCCATACTTTTTCCCTGCCTCATTTTTTCTTTCCTTACAATTCATTCCTTTCAAAACAAATAAATCTGTTGGAGATGTGTGTGTTAACTACAATAAATAATAATAATAATAATAATAATAATAATAATAATAATAATAATAATAACTTGTATTATATAGATAAGTATTCTGGAATACTTAATGTTCTCATAAGGAACCTGTACATACACCAAGAAGCAGTTGTTTGAACGGAACAAGGGAAAACAGAGTGGTTCAAAATTAGGAAAGGTATGTGTCTTGGTTGTATTATTTTATAATATTTATTCAATCTGTATGTGGAGCAAATAATCCTAGAAACTGGATTAAATGAAGAAGAATGTGACATCAGGATTGGAGGCAGACACATTAATAACCTTTGATATGCAGATGACACAACCTTGCTTGCTAAAACCAAAAAGGACATGATACTTACCATTAACAACAGCCTTTGGTATGGGCTGCATTTAAATGTAAAGAAAACAAAAATCCTCATCACTGGACCAATAAATAACATCAAGACAAATGGAGAAATGCTTGAAATTACCAAAGACTTCATTTTGCTCAGAGCAACCATCTTCATGGAAGCATCAGTCAAAAAATCAAAAGACACATTCCATTCTGCATATCTGTTGCACAAAATCTTTTTAAAGTATTCAAGATCAAAGATGTTAGTTTGAGGACTAGGGTGCACATAATCCAAGCCATGGTATGTTTAATAATCTCATATGCATGTGAAATTTGGACAGTGAACAAAGAAGACCATAGAAGAATTGATGCATTTGAGTTATGGTGTTGGAGAAGAATATTAAAAGTATCATGGGCTGCCCAAAGAACAAACAAATTTTTGTTGAAAGAGCACAGCCAAAACGTTCTTTAGAAGCTAGTAGGTCCACAGTTTGTCTCTCATACTTCGTACATATTTTCAGGAGGGATTAGTCCCTGGAGAATGACATTATGCTCAGTCAACTAAAAGAGGAAGACCCCAATGAGATAGATTGGCACAGTGGCAGCAGCAATGGGCTCAAGTGTAGCAATGATTGTGAGGTTAGTGCAAGACTAGGTACCGTTTCCTTCTGTTGTACGTAAGGTCCATATAATAACATAGATGGGTGGATTTGAACTGCCTCTCTTGTGGTTCGCAGCCCAGTACTTATCCTACAGTGGCACCAGCACTCCATGTTAATGGTGTTGTTGTTTTATTAAATGCTATCATATTAGTTGCAACTCATAGTGACCTTGTAAAGGTTTTCTGAGGAGAAGTTTGTGCGTTTGAACCTCTGATCTTGCAGTTAGCAGTTCAAGATTACCCAACAGTACCACACCAGGACAAAAGTAGAACTGCTAATTTGAGAAAAGCATTGAATTACCAGTCATTTCTTGGATACTTTGACAAATAAATCATCACACATAATACTTTGAATCTGTTTACCTATATATTTCAGGAAAAAAACTCTTAGCTTTCCCGTATAAAATGAGTGTTTGATTAATGTTTTGATGTTAATGTAGGTCAGTGAAGTATTAATTGGTTTTATTTACCACTCTAAAAAGCTGTTAAAATTTCTTTTTGTACTTAAACACATAAAAGAGGGAATATTTTCTTCTAATAGTGAAAACTTCAATCATACATCTACACCATTATCTAAACAATGAAATTGAAATGCAAACAATTGAGTAAAAATAAATGATCTGTTTATGAAAAATAGGCTAACAAAATAATTAGTAAAATATGATGTATATAATCATATTAACATAGGTTGCTTTTATTAAATGTTAAGTCTTATGTTCAAGTCTTCCTAATTATGCTACTTAAAGATACATTAGATTGAAATCTTTCAACTATAGTTATTTTTACTAAGAGTCTCTCTCAGTATATCTCTAAGGCAGAAGCTTATTTTCATATGGTTTTTAAAGTTGTTTCTGGTCACAGAATTTTGTGTGCTTTTAATATTTATGTCAAAAATATTGCTACTAGGGTTCCAGTTCAGACATGCACAGGTTTATTTCCAAAACTTGATTAAACATAGCTCTATAACCAATATATGGTTGAAAACAAGTCTTCTTGTGTTAGTCTCTTGTAAGGATACTTAAAAAAAAAAAGTCCAATAAAAGCAGGAGTTTCTGAGGGGATCTTGTGGGCCAGTAAAACTCAAGACAAAGGTTGGATCAGAAGATTATGGGGACTGGATATTCCACATGGGTAATCTTGATATGTTTTCTGGAAGGACTTAACATGATAATATCCTTATTATGAAGAAAGTTTAAGAACAAGAACTTCATTGGTGTAAAAGAGGCCAAGAAAATTATACTATATTTTTTCCTATCAAGACAATGAACCTGCTCATAATAGGAGCATAGCAAGGACTGTTCTGTAAGAATTTCATTGGGAAACCTTATCCTATCCGCCCTACCTCTCTGATCTTTCACCTTCAGATTTCTTTTTTGTTCCCTAAACTCAAATAGGAGTACTGGTGCGGCGCTGTGGGTTAATGCGCCACACTGCAAAGACGTTTGAACTGCAAGTTTTGTGGTTCACGCTCACCAGCTGCTCCTTGGAAACACTAAACAGGGTCATGGCTATGGGTCAGAATCATCTCTGCAGTACTTAACAACAACAACAACAAACTCAACTGACAATTAAAAGGATTACCTGCATCCTGTGAGGATGCTAAAACTGCATCCTCAAATTGACATGGTGTAAATCAAAGGAAGAAGAATCATTTAAGGAAGGGTTAGAGAGATGGAAAGACCATTTTCAGAAGTGTATAGATCTAATGGAGGGATATGACAAGAAAAATGAGTTTCACATTTTGGTATTTATTAAAAAATAAATGTTTCTATGCTTTTGTAGTACCACTTTAAGATTTACTCTTGTATTTCATAATTACCTTTAATTAAATACTAATTTGCACTATATCTATAACATTTAAAAATCTTTATTAAATAAGGATTTGCACTTGTATTACCCCTGTGATTCTGTATACTAGAGACAAATTTCAGGAGGGAAATAATTTTCAGAAAGTGATTCTTCTACTGAAACTACATCCAAGAAATGTTAGAAATATATGGGTTGGATAAAGTAGTGCTAGGTTACATGATTCACTAAACTATTATCCCAAAAAAGAACACTTAGTATAAATAAACAGGAATATATGTGGTGTATATTTTCATGAATTAATATCTTAGAATATTTGCTTTTAAAAATATGTGAAAATAAGCAGCATTCTAATACAAGTTTAATAAAGGTTTCTACAGTTCTAAAGTAATTTTTTTTTTTTTTTTGCATGTTTTCCTTTGAAAGTTGAATGATGACTAAGGTGATTTTTTTTAATGTTTTATTGTGAATTATGTGATACTTTACATGGGAGATCATTAGTTTTACATTCATCCTATCATATGGTTTCATTGCCATGGTTACAATCCCATCCATGCATCATCAACCAACCAAAGGGTATACCCTGCAAGCCTGCCCCCTTTCCCTTTCTGGGTCTAAAGTCCGCAGCCTCTCCATCTCTCCATGTCATCGTCTCTGCCTCCATCTCTGGCATCACTGCTTCTCTGGGTAGGGGCCCGGTCTCTGCTCTTCTCCCTTGATGGTTCTAGGGACCTCCACTCCTAGACTGCAAAGTCAATCACTTCCCTCCTTTGCTACAAAACATCTACCTTTACATTTACAATCCACACAATCATTCCTAATAACAATTATTCACTATTGTATCACAAGAGATCTATCCGCATCTACTTTCATCAGCCCCGCCCAGACAGATTGGATACTGCTTAGTGGAGAGTCTACCTTCCTCCAACCCTTTGGACCTAGGTTTCCTCTTGAAAGCTTGTAAGCCAATCACTTCTCGCCTTTGTAGCTCCACCCCACCCACTCACCCCCTATTTTGGGTAGCCAATGTCCAAGTTGCCCATCCCTGTCTACTCTGTGTAGGGAGTGGTGGGAATGACACTCGCTGTAAAGATTTGTTCCCTCTTTTGAGCTACTACATCCATAGTTGTAGGTCAAGTTCATCAAATTGTATCAGATTACTCTTTTGTTCCTCTTCTTTCTTCTAGTTGAGCTCTGATCATCTCATCATTGAAGCAAGGTCAAGTGGGTATCAGCTGCAAGTGTGAATGTTCTTATGCATGTGCCCTCTCTTCATATCAGCTGAACACTTCATTCTTCACTCTAGTCCTCTGTGACTAGGTCACTGACTCTGGGCCCCAAACTCCCCAAGTCTTGTCACACTGCTGGCCAACCAGGTCTACACCAGGGTTCATAAGAGTCTATTAAATGTTGTAGGGCTTAGCTCACACCTTCATTGCTGTTTTTCCCTCACTTCCCCTTATAGGTGACGAATGTGGTCACCAATCAGAGCGTGTATTCCCATTAAGTCTTAGTCTTGAAGGGGGTTTGCCTTAAGGGGACCTGACCACTTGCTTTCATGTCTCCTAGGCGAGCAACTTGCTTGTTCTTGTAGTAATCAGTCGAACTGCCATTATTGTTTTGTATTTTTCCTGTTGGTCTTTCTTTCAAGAAATATTTTCTGTTCTTCTATCTTTTCCAGACTGGTCTGCTTGTCTTTTCAAGTGGAAATTTCTCATCTCTGAAGATTCTTGATGTTATTCAGGATTCCACCTATGGTCTTATATTTTAGGTATACCAATCAGTTATAGGCAGAAGACGGACTTACAAGCTTTCTATGGTGATATTTCTGGCTAATCCTTTCTCTCCCCCTCAACTGTCTATTTTATAATGGCATGCCAGGGAAACCAAGATTCAAAAGACAACCAAGCATCTTAACATTATTTCCCCCCTTTTCCCCATTCCAACCATGTCTCATTCTCTGTATCCCAGAGCCCTGTTGTTCCAAGGTTGTGCATACATCTTTATTTACCTCTATCCCACTTAGCCCATGCAAACCTGCTTAATAGTTTTATTGTCTGCTTTGTTCTTCCATTCCCCTCCCCCTT